CTCTCTCCCTCTCTCTCTCCCTCTCTCTCCCTCTCTCCTCCCCCTCTCTCTCTCTCTCCCTCTCCCTCCCTCTCTCTCTCTCCGTCTTTCTCTCTCTCTCGCGAAAATACCAAATATCGCGTCAACGAACGAATATCGCGCGCGCACGCCGGTATTTCAGGCGAATCAATTTTTGCGCGGTCGAATATTTCTCGTTTATATCCGCGCGTGGGCGCGCTCACCGAATACACGTAATACGCGAAATGTACACGGGGTGTCCCGGAAACACCAGCAAGGCCGCACGGGAACGTGCCGTGCGGGGAGACTGACGCGGCAGCCTCCGATAAATCCCTCCGTATTCACCGCATTAATCGTATGTTACCGCGCTTCCGGAAACATACCCATTCCGCCGCTAATCGTTAGGAACGCTCAACCAAAACGCTCGAGCCAAACTTTAGCCTCCGGTAGCCCTACTGGCCGCGCGAAATTTGCATTTAATGACACGTAGTCTGTGACGCGGAACGCCAGCGCGCCAGTAGTCGAAGCGAGGCACATGAGGCTTCGAACAGGAGTATCCGCATCGGGAAATTTCTCAAGATCCTCCTAGATACAGTATATAGATTCTGATTAGAATATATCAAAATTTTTCCCAAAATTGCTTGTCCTATTACAATATACCAATTGGGAATCCCATTCTCTCACTCCAAACGCGGGCTCTTTGTTTAGAGTCGAAACAGAAATACTATAGAAATTCACGCTTGCGTTTTTCAGTCAGAATATTTTTATCGTATCACACAAACGGAGAATCCTATTTTTACACCAACTACATATTTAACTAATTGACGGACACTGACATATTTCTGCGTAAAAAAGATATAAAGAGAAGATTGACGCAGTAATGTACACATCGTGTGTTTTATTTTTCTCTATTTTTATTATTTGTTTGTTTTTCGTCAGCAAGATTTTCATGAAACTCGGTATTAGGGAATTGTTTGGGTTGCTAAATACAAATTTAGGGTCAAAATTGAAAAATTCAAAATGACGGATCCAATATGGTGCCAAAATTTTAAAATCAAAAAACATAAAAACAAAAAACAAAAAGATGGAGTGTAAAATCCTACTATGCAGCCTCTCCGTAGCACTCTGGTATTGTGAATATGAATTCACTAACTAATATCGGAGATTCGAAATAAAGTTTTTATTTTATTTTGACAAAAAGTTATGGCATGAGTATACTAAAAAAATCTTTCCAAAATTATTTTTTTAATTTCAAGTATAGTTTTAAAATTTTAATTTATAGATTCCAGTTTAAAGATCCCCAAAAAACTCCTGGGACAAACTTTCACAGAAATCTACCATTTTATTCAGTTTTTTTTAAATTCTAGTTCCTATATTAAATCCGCCATATTGAACTTTCAAATTATTCAGCGACCCGAGAAACACTTTAGTACTTTTATAAAAATCGAACAGTATTTTTATTTTGCTCTTTTTGGCTAAATTGATGTTGATTTTCGCTGCCAGTCGAGTGATTAATAGAAAAAAATGGAAAAAATATAAAATATTTTTTAAACACTGAACATTTCACAGAATAGTAAAATTAATAACAAAATCAACGTATTTTTGTTTAGTTCTAATGTGAAATAAAGACCACATAAAAATATTGGAAAAACTTTGGATTTCTCACGTAGAATCGCACGTTTGAAACATTTCACTTCTAACTTCGCGCATCAATCTTTCAAGATTTCCCCAGGCAACAGATCCGATTAGAATGCCCAAATTTGTCCTAAAATTGATTATACCAGTATGATTCCAATTAGGAATCCCATTTCCTCACTCCAAACATGAGTTCTTTGTTTAGAATCGAAACAGAAATACTACTTATATATAAATATATGACAGAGATACAGAAATATTATATCACGTCACGTTTGTTTTTTTAGTTGATATATTTTTACAGTATCAAATAGAGAATATCATTTTTATATTAAATATTATAATTTATATAATTTAAAATGAAGATCAGAAGAAATATCGGGAAAATTTAGGTTTACCCCTGATAAAATCGCGTGTTCAAAACATTAAACTTCCAACATTAAACCTCTCCAGAACTCATGATTATTTTGAGAAATCAGACTGGATCTCAATTAGATCCCGAGAAATTTTCTATGCGGGTACGTGAGAGAGTAATTTCGCGCCCCTATAACCGCGACTTATGAGACCCAGCGAAGATATATACATGCACTGGCGAATTTAACCCTCCGAGTGGCAACCGGGTCATTTGGGCCATTTTTAAGAAGTGCTCTTTTCCAGGAGCATATTTTTGTTTAAAAATCGTAAAAAATAAAATACCCAGCAATTTATTTTTTACAAAAGAACTATGCGGTTTTCAACTAGAAGGACAAAGGAAATTTCAGTAACTCTTTGGCACTTTTTTCAAACAACCCAAGGAATGAAAAATCGTGGGAGACACTAATCACCTCGGTTTGCCATCTCGAAGGTCATCAAGAATACGTCGTCACTCAAATGGTTAATTCGAATTCAAAATTTCGCTCGTCCATTCTTCTGCAAGCACGCGCGCGCGCGCAATGTTTACGGCCAAAGTACGGTGAGCGGAGGTGGAAGAGGAGCTGGTTCTCTCTCTATTCACTGCGGCAGACCCTGGCGACATTTAAGACAGGCCGCACGAAGGTCGTCGTCGGCGGCGGCCAGCGCGCAGCGCTGGTAGGAAAGTCGATAAAAATACCATTAAGATCCCTCCACGAATATTTCGCCAGCATTATTGTGCAATTTGCTCGAATTACGTGAATCGGCCGCGTCTCTCTGCACCAGCACGCGAAACGAGCCTCGGCTCGGCGAAAAAGAATGCCATTTAGCGTCTACGCGGATTAAGCGGCTCGGGAAATTAACTACGAGCTACGCGGCGCCTGGTGGAGGCGCTATTCAGCGCGCCCTTATTACACGCGAGCATCCCTCGTTCAGCGCGCCGACGATAACGACGTCCGCGTCTCGCGACGTTAAATATCGCGCGCGCGCGCTCCTAGCGCCGAGAAATTCGCTAATTGCTGGCGACGTTCGGAGAGCATTCCGTTAAATCTACTGAGCGCCGTCCTACCGCCCTACCGCCTCCGGCTGACCGCCGGGCTAGCCGGAGCATTCGAGACCGATAAAGCTGCCAGCGTTTTGCTTCGCTGGTGCCGCGATAACTTCCCATCTTGGCTCATAAATCGGCCCGATTATCGCGAACCTTCGGCGAGATATGTTGTCAGCGCGCGTTCCCACCGAGGAAATTACGCACGAGAACGGCCGCGGCGCACGAACGAGCCGGCGTTATCAAAAAAACCACACGCGCGCACCCACCCGCCCGGCCGCGCCGTGCACACGTACAAGACACGTACGCACACACGCAGAAGGGATTGCCCGCAGAATTTAATGCACCTATCGTGGGTCGGCCGAACCACCCGGTGGAAGGAAGCTCCGTGACGTCACGGCTGGACCGGGAAGAAATAAAGGAATACCCGAAATATCGCGTTCGATGAGGATATGTAGAAGGCGCGTATGGTTGATGGCCGTCTCACGCCGCACTAATATCTCGTGATCGAAATTCCCGTGGATTTTTAGCACTCGTTTTGAAAAGAATACTTTTTCCTGCGGCATGTAGGGAAGACTATATCCCACTATATTGCTCGTATACTTTTTTTTAATATTTTTATCTTAAGAGGAATAGTACCAAATCGTGAAATGATCCTTTTAGGACATAGATACTTGTTCCTGAGTTTCATTAAAATAGAAGTAATATTACAGTTAAGAAATAAGAAGAACTGATTTGGTAATAGCAAAGTAAGTTTTCGGGCCTCTCGAAATTTTCTATTAATATTCTCCATCGTAGGTGAATTAGTTTAAGCGATGTTACTAGCTAGAATGAGATTTCTTGCAAATATATGATATACTGTTTAATAAATGCAATTCATAAAATAACTGAAATAGAGCATGTATAATAGGGCAGACGGAGTAAAGTGGACCCATAATTAACGGCTGGCGGGAGGGCTGTGGAGACTTCTTGCGGGGACTCTGGAACTACTACTCAGGAACTACTACATATTTTATACGTGGCCTTCTTTATAGGCCTGCGCTATCGAGCAAATGAACCTGGTACAAGGGCAAGATGACTTTGTTGCTACATATTTTGGTTATTACAAAATAAAATTAAATTAAAATCGAAATTAAAGTAAAATATAATATAAAATAAAATATACGATTAACAGAGTCGTGGCGGGTATTAGTACATAAAAGAAAATTGCCTCTATCATATTTATATAGTCAGTCATAATAATTAATTGCCTGAGAAGTTGTAACCTCGAAATTCTAAAATATAAGTCAGCTAGTCCCGGTCTTTTCTATAGGTATGTACAGAATATTTTTGTCAGATAACATAATATGCTAATAATATAATTTGCAAGACTTATATATGCGCGACTGGGATATGCTCATACTGAAACTAAAATTTATGCATGACAATAATAAATGGATGTTCAGATGCATTCTGCAGTCTAATGGTATACAAATTTATCATTGAAAAGGAATATTTGGCATTTGTAATTTTAATTATACAAAAATAACAATTTCTACAAATTATGTGATCAAAAAACCATTTTTTAAATTAAATTCTACTATAATGTTAGTGATAATAAACTTATATGCATATTACTACTCTACCACTTTTCTATAAAAAATATGTTTGGGGACAAAAAACTGTAATTTTAGATAAACACTCAGATAAACCAGTTTTTTTCTCTCGATGTACAAGAAAATATCAGAAAAATAAAAAATGTTCCGTACTGGTACATGTATTTTCGACACTGCAGTTTGAATTGTTCGTTATTTTTAATGTCAGTATGGGGAAAATTTTATCCTGAGTAATAACTATTATGTAACATATTTTATATTATTATATATGCATAGTATGAGAATTGCAGAAAAACGAATTATTCGTTGCGCTTCTAAGCAATAACGAGTAGTTGTAAACGTGTTCATCGCATTGTTTGTCATCGTTTACAAAAGAACTGTTGCATAAATAAATTTATCGATTAAATTTTTGGTTGAAGAAAACAGAATATCTGGTTCATTATGAATCAAATTCGATTCTAAGAATTAAAAATTCTATTTCTTTCAACTAAAACAGTTCGTTTATTATCAAGTTAATTCAACCAAACTTTTCTTTGTCTAGCATTTAATGATATACGTGAAAAATATAATTCAGTATGGGAATTTATTTTTATACACGCGTTTCAGAACTATTGAAAAAGTTTCATACTTCTTGGAAAAAGTTACTTCTGCGTGCAGATTTATGCTTTGATCTCTACAAATTTTCCTTTGGAATTTTTTCTACAGTATATCCCAGCCGCGGGCAAAGCTACTATTTTAAACTAGTGCAAGATATTGCACTTTTCATAATTTCAAAATTACAACTTTTCGGACAATCAAACGATTCGGACTGCACAAAGTGCAGTTGCTGCATTTGGCGAAACAGACATGAAGGAGAAATAACTTTCTTCTATGATTTTATGCGCGCAAAATGATTCTATAAACCGTATATGTATTTCTTTGCAATAACCGAAATACAAACATGCTACAACATGGCTGCTTTGCCCTGATATCGGGTCAAGGAAACTAGCAATCCAGAATAAAAAGATTATAATATATGTACGTCCTTATACCTTAAAAAATATTTTGTCATTTAGAACTATTTTGTAATAATTGAACTTTATTGTTTTGTGCCAGGGAGAAAAAGTATAAAATATATTTCCGATGGACAGAATATAGTAATTTTTGTTCTCTTTTTGTATTAACATAAGGTCAACTTTACCTCGTTCATTCACGTGCTCGATTACAATCATTTTATGAATAGAAATTACTTGTATTATCCGAAACAGTAGGAATATTTCTCGTTCTAACTAATAATACTCACTTAATTTTACTCACGATGGAGAATATTAACACGAAATGTCGAGATGCTCGAAAATGTACTCGACTGCTCCTAAATCAGTTTTACCTACTTTCGAGCTATAATATTTTTCCATTTCGGTATAACTCGGGGAAAAATACGCATGTTCTAAGAGGAACGTTTTACATTTTCGTTTCCACTGTTCCTCTTACGATAAATACCAAGAACCATAAACATGACTAACATAACCTTCGGGCCAACTAGACCCGGTCTGCCCTACTTTTTCAACTAATGAATGTTTATATCCTCGAGGAAAATTCTCGCGTGTCGCGTGTTACGCGACGCGTGTTACGCGATTCGGATAGTTTATTAAATAAGTAAGTATATGAACGTGTGTGTATGATAATTTTTATATATATATATATATATATATATATATATATATATGCACGAACATACGCGTTAATTTCATATGCGCACGCGGATGGCAGGATTTAACGGATGCGCGGCAAAATTTTCACGGCACTTTCGCGCAGCGAAGGAAAATCTGGCGACGACAATGCTGAAAAATTCATGCCTTTCGTAAAAGAGAATATGAGCGGGATTGCGAATAGATAAGGCGGGACACCTGACACGTATATGACGAGTAACGGGGCATACGTGGTCAGACGTTAAATCGATACAACTGCCGGCGCGCGGCGGTCCTACGGGAATTTCATATGACGTTACCGCGCGAAAAGCTCCACTTACTCCAAGAAGTCAAGTGTCGATATTTCATCAGAGAAGGAGCATCGATACTTTACGCGCTCTCGAGGATGGGTGAGACGTCGGGAGGAACGTCCGCGTACAAATTCTCCCGGAGCGAACGGCGCGGTTGATCTTCGGCAGGCGGCGTTTTAAAACGCGCGTGAAATAGCGTTCGACGATCGACGCACGGAGAACCGCAGTAGGAAACGGTAGAAAAATTTCCACCTCTCTACGATATTATTTTGTGATTGCAGCTTCTGTTTCGTTTCCTCTCCTAATTAAAATGAAGTGAATTAACTGAAGGACGTAATTTCGTCGCTCGTTTCCTTACCTTAAATCCCGCCAAACGTCTTATTTTTAGTCGCTAATTCCCGGAAAGAAATTGGAATTCTTATTTTTCATTAATACTGCATATATACTGCAACTGCATATTTTAAGGACCAATAGAGAATATTCCGAGGTTTAAATTCATAAAGACTATTTCTTTATTGCTGCAAACTGTTACTCTGGTCGTTTCCTCTGACTCTCGTTATCTCTCTGAATATTAAACATTTATTATTATACATTTATCTCTTGTTGTTAAGGAATTATTTAACATTCGATTTCCATATTCTGCATCTTTCTTTTACTTTCAAAAAGCAATGTATTAATTATACAACTTATTAAACTACTAACAAAGTATGTGCAATAAAAAAATATTAAATGATACAGGTAAATAATGAGATGAAATTGGTAAGTAATATTAGACTACAACAATTGAGCACAACGCTTTTTGGTCTGTTCTATTATTGCACTACAAAACTCGTGTACACTCGATGCTATACCATTCACTAGATCGATACTCACTAAAAATTCATAAACAGCTGCATCCGTCTTCAATTACGCGTTTCTCATGGCTGTTGATCAATCTAAGATATGTTAGATACTAAAAGAAAGGTAAGTAAGAGATTAATTTTGTAAAGACAAATAATTGCAATTAGTTATATAAATTAATTTGAATTCGTAATCAAATAGTCTGCCTCCCCATATAGAATTGCATATAAGCGGATAACTCTTAGTGTCGGTCTACAACCTTCAGCAGCTGACCAACCACAGTAAATTATTCTCCTTACGTCTCAAGAATAATCGATTGTGATTGGTCAGTTGCTTACAACTTAAAGTTTAAAGCGAGGTTGTAGACCGACACTTAGGACTGTGACAGAAAAACTTAAGCAGTTTAAAAATTTAGTTGATAAAAGTTACAAAATACAATCTAAAATAGTACACGCTGCACACTCGTACTAAGTTAATCTTTAATAAGTTAGGGTTACGGACTAAGCAGTTAATAATTCCATTGCTTCCGGGTGTCTGTGACACTTAACAGGCTACAGAAATCGTGATATTCCTTATTATCCAACTACTCCTTAATTTTCGTGCTTTTTCTTTAACACATTTCCTTTTAAACAGGACGTGAAATCTTGAATGTATCGAAATCATGGGATGGAAGTGGTTCAAGAATGGAAGTGATACAGGAATAGATGCGATACAGGAATGGAGGTGATCTAGGAGTAGAGGTGTTCCAGTAATGGATGCGATCCAGGGATGGAGACGATCCAAGAATGGAGGCCAAGGATCCGGCCAGGATCCGGAAATAGAGAATGGAGATTGGTAATGGAGAGAGAGAAAGAGCGAGGAAGGAAAAGGGATAGCGAGAGGGATAGGATGAGAAAGGGGGAAAAAGGGAGAGGAAGAGAAAGGCGATAGTATATTAGAGTTTTCTTATGTGTTCGTCTTGTGTTAGTTAATATTACAGTACTATAGTATTTCTGTTTTACTAGTGTTGCGATATGTTATAACACTATAATCTATATTCATAGTACAAACTGAATGGCTCGTATTGGTTACGCGCTTGTATTTTTCAGCAGAAAAAGTGGCTTAATAAGCGCTTAGTGCTGCACTGCCAGCTTTACAACTGTTGTAAGATTTTCCTTCAAACGACATTAGCGCGGCTTACGCTCTTCCAACATATTTACTAAACGGTCACCATATTTTTCAGCGCATTAAAAGTATGCCGGTAAAAAATGGCGGCCACTTAGTAAACACGTTGGAAGAGCGCAAACCGCTGTCGTTTGGACGAAAATCTTATAACAGTTACAAAGCTGCTGGCAGCGCAACACTAAGCGTTTATCAAGCCGCTTTTTCTGCTGAACGTAACCATTGTTCTAGTGCGAACAAAAATCGAAGAACAAAGTGCGAGCGATCCGCATGGCGTTACGATTGCGGGGAATTAAAATCTGTCGCCTAGACGAAGTCAGGTCAGCGTCCGTTAAACGATCGACGGGACGGTACCGAAAAACGTCTCGCGCGGGTTTTGCCCGGCCGGCGGCGGCAAAAAGTCACAAGGTGCGGAAACTCCGAACGGAGTTGCGTTCTAGGTACGACTTTATTACTCGGATAGTTCGATTTACGAGTTACTCGAATCCAGGTATTTCCCCGCGAGGAGGAGGGAGGATGGTGGAGGTAGAGGACCGGGGGAGGCAGGAGGAAGGGAGGGAGATCAAGGACGTTCGGCGATAAATTTTCTTGGCTATAATGGGGCTATGTGGTGGAACGGGCAGTGACGCGCGGATATCGGGTAGGATTTTCCGCGTCGACTCGAGAGGGAACGCTGGAAAAAGGACGAAAGGATAGAGGACGACGAGGAAGACACGAAGGGAGACGAAGGGGAACGGGGAACAAAGCGGGATCGAGGATGTCGTTATCGACGAGAGATTTTCCTAGCCACGTCGATCGCTCTCGACGCGTTTGCGAGCGCGCGATGCCAGATGACTCTGACGAAGAGAAAGAGAGAGAGAGAGAGAGGGTGAACGAGAGAAGGGGAGGAGAGGTAGGGGAGAGAGAAGCGTTCCCGTACCCCGCTCAGTTAGCACGGGAATAGAGATAGCGCGTCTAAAATTATTTCTCTAGCTGCTGTTGTCTGGAGCGAGTAGAGGAGCTCTCTCCCGGCTCGTAAGCGCATTCCGTCCTCGTCACTGCGCCATATATATTCGTTGCCGCCTCTCGGCCGCATTCTAGCGGCGTCGTCAGTCTAAGACCGGTCTTTCGCTCTAATACCTCGTTCGTGTCTATAAAGTAAAACCCTCATAAAGCATCGAGACCGGCGCGTGAAGCGCGAGGAATCCCCGGGTCCGTGCGGTTTTCGCGGTGAGCGAAAGTGGCCGGGGATCTTTAAAGTTTTATTCGCCGAAGGAGAAGAGAGAAAGAGAGAGAAAGAGTGAGTGAGTGAGTGAGTAAGTGAAAGAGAGAAAGAGAGAGGAGAACGACGACGACGCGACGCGCGCCGGCAATCCGTTTCAGTCATTCCGTATGCGCTCGGCCACCTCCGAAACGGTTGGTGCTCCGAAACTGCGAATCGGAGAGAATCGGAAAGAAATCGCGACGCGACGAGGGTTGAAGAGATGAAGTGAAAAGTTGGCGCGAGGGGAGGAGGAGCGAGAGGCGCGAAGAGCGCACTCGTGGAAGTGAACGTTACCTAAATGTTTAGGCGGTGCGTTGGACGGCGTCCAAAAAGTGGGGATTAAAATAAAATTAAAGCGGGAATAAAACGGCTCGCGCGAGTGAACTTCTCGATCTTCGGCTCCGCGGCGCAACTTTCTTAGCCGCGCACGTGTCGGGATAATTTAGTACGTGACCCCCCTCGGATTCTCCGCGGACAATCTTAGAAATCGGGTTGTACATTTTTATCCGCCTGGTGGCGGCGAGGGGAAGGGGGTGGGAGCGAGCCAAGACGAGCGAGAGGGGCGGATGTGAAAATAATACCGGAAGGATTAAGAGAGTTCATCGGCGACCATTCCAGATTGCGGCGGTGCCCAATTTGCGAAGGAGGACTCGCCCGAACTTTTTAAATTCGGATCTCGCTGCTCCCCTGTGATAGAGGATCCCCGAGTGGCTATTTCTCACGGCCAAATAGAGTCGTTTAATTCCGTGGACTTCCGTGGGCGAGGGAGAAAGAGAGCGAGGGGGAGAGAAAGGGGGTGGGGAACGAGAATTCGCTGGACCACGGCCGACTTTTTATGATTCAGTGCGGCGGTACGTCTCTTTCTCTCGTGTTCGCGCTCGCGGCCACTTTGCAGTTCGCGAAGTTGTACCGGCGCGAAATCTAAGCGGCGGATTAACGAAATTTTCGTCCCGACAAAATATTTGTACGCGGCTCCTTGATATTCCGCACGGTGCTGGCGGCGAATCGCGTCCACGGCCGTTTCTTCTTAATCCCCCCCGGGAGCTCGTGAAACGAGGTCGCGCGTTCGACGCGAGAACGACGTGGAGTACGAAATACCAGGGCGTCCGGCTCCTGTAATATTCAGAAGGGATCGGTCGCGCCGAGGGAAGCCGGAAGATGCGGCGTGGACTGCGTCGACACGAATCGCGCGAATTGCCCACCGCGAGAGAGTGCGCTAATAAACCGCGACACGTAAAACGCGAATGAGCGCGCGTGTTTCGCAGCCACGATCCTCTCGCAGAACTCACAGGACTCGCAGGATTCCCAGGAACTCTCGTTAAGGCTCCCGGAGTCCTATTCTGGACACGTATGGAACGCTAAATAGGAGAGACCGGAGCTAGACGGCACATTTTTCAGCATTCCGATATTACAACTTCGCAGGCAACTAATTGTTACGATTGACTTCACAAAAATAATAGAGACAACCTTCCTCTATGTTTCTTTGATCGCAATGATACTAAAGTTATATTTTCTCCTGTAATAATCGAAGTACAAATAGGCCGGCGTGAGGTTAGAAGGCCATGTATAAAAATGCATCCTGATTAGTTCTACTGTGATAGAAGTACTGTGATTGAATACTGTATAGGATTTGACAAAACATATTGGACCAATCAAAAGTTTCTTCCTCGTGGCCAAACTCTGATTAGAATGACTAGTCGGCCCTAGAGACCTTCAAGCAAAAGACCTGCCAACTTCAGTCATTTGCAAGAATATGGCGCCCCCCATAATGCGGCTTTGTATGATTTATATGTTTTTATAAGTGTAAATATATAAAATTAATATATAGGGTAGCTCATGTAAAGTATAACAGCCTAAAAACTCTAAAAATATTAGTAGTATCAAAAAGTTGTACATGGGAAAGTTTCATTCTAACTATGTGAATAAAAATTCGCTTTCCCTTGAAGATAATTTCGTAATTTCAAATGAAACCTTCTATAAAATGTTGTATATTTGGGTTTTACGGGAAAAAACAAGTAATCTTTATCTAGAAAGTTTTTTTGGAAAGTACTTTTATCAGAAGTTATAAACATTTAAACATTAAAGTAGAGTGCATTCAAAAGAGTATGATAAAACCATAAATTAAACACTTCATAATGTTTCCTTTTTTTACTTTATTAAATGTTCAAATGATCAACAATTTGAACAATTTTTATTTAGAACATATAAATGATTAATAATTTTAAATAATATTAATTGTCATATTAGAATATTATTATTTTACATAAAAGTTTTGATAAATTTTTATAAATTTTCCAAATTTACTTCACTGGATTTATTTTTATCGCGTCTTTACTTTGTGAGGCAAAATAAGATTGTTTCATTGGTTCCGCTATATTCCTACAAAGTCTGTCATCAACTAATCCCAAAATGACTATAGGTTCATAGGTTTTTTACACGAGAATCTTTAAATAAAGACCAACTTTACCTTGTCTATTCATATACTTGATTTCAATCAATTTATAAACAAAAATTCATTTTAATTTATAATACTTGAAACAGCGTATCATACGCTTGTAGAAAGCTGCATTCTAACTAATAACAAATCACTTAAATTTATTCACTCATAACAAAGAATATTAATACAAAATTTCGGAACGCTCGAAAATATACTTGTGTGCATATGGCTACTCCTAAATCAATTATTTTATTTTTTAACTGTAATATTATTTCGATGGGGGGCGCCATATTCTTGCAAATGACTGAAGTTGGCAGGTCTTTTGCTTGAAGGTCTCTAGGGCCGACTACAGTCATTCTAATCAGAATTTGACCACGAGGAAGAAACTTTTGATTGGTCCAATATGTTTCGTCAAATCCCACACAGTATCCAATCACAGTACTTCTATCACAGTAGAACTAATCAGGATGCATTTTTATATGTGGTCTTCTAACCTCATGCCGGCTTATTTGTACTTCGATTATTACAGGAGAAAATATAACTTTAGTATCATTGCGATCAAAGAAACATAGAGGAAGATTGTCTCTATTATTTTTGTGAAGTCAAAACTTAAAAAAAGTACTCATATTCTAGAAAGAATATTTTACAATTTTGTTTTCACAGTTTCTTTCACGATAAATACATAAATAAAGCACATGGCCAACATACTAGTTACGATCTCCTTATGCCTTTCTGATTCTCAAGCTGAAACAAACTTGTGATTCGTATAAAAAAAATGGAACTTGGAATTAAAAGGGCATACTTAAGTTTACCATACGTCCAGAATATTACCTCTGTGGTTCGATTCTTGACGGTATGCGAATGAAATACGCATGCGAATATATATAGTTCACGTTACGTATATTATAGATTTTCGCATGTATATCTCATTCACACACTGTCAAGAATCGGTCTTCCCCTGATCCTTCGCCACGAATCTCTTGATTGATATTA